GTCCGTCCGTCTGTCCGTCTGTCCATGTTAATTTGTAATCACTCTACAGGTCGCAATAATGGCCCAATCTTCACGAAATTTAGAATGGAGGTGGGGCTACAGACAGAATAGAACCCTAGTGCTTTTGGAGATGATCGCATAATATTTAGGGGTTAAAATGGACCAAAAACTGAAAAAATCCTGGTTTTGCAGTTGCTCTACAGGTCGCAATTATAGACCAATCAACGCCGAAGTTAGCATGGGGCTAGAGCTTAGGGCAGGGCAGTAGCCTTCCAATTTGGATCATCGGGTAGTATTTGCTGGGTATAGACCATAACATTTGTGTTAAATAAAATTTTCATTAAACCGCGAATATTTTTAATCTCGGCGAAATCACAAATAGACCAACTGCTCAATTCTGACAGCTATATAAATCCCGATAGTAAATATATCTGATATATATCGTGAAATATATACAATGTGAATATACAATGGAAGGGGATGTTAGCTAGAATGCATATATCTTAAGAATGGCTGGACCGATTTTGACAAACTTTGTCAATTCAGAATGCCCTTTTGTCATAAGAGAATAAAATATAAAAAAATCACATTAAAATGTGCCAAAAATGGTGTTACTATAGATTTTGTAGTATTTTGTGACATATTTTTATTTTTTCATATTTTTTATCGCATGCGATTTTTTCAATTTTACTTATAATATTGAAGTATATATTTTGTAATATTTTTGCACTTTACAACACAGGTTGGGGTTATTCTTTATATACAGATTGCAATTATCGTTCGATCCTCACGAAATTTTTGATAAAGGTAGGGTTAGGCTCAGAAGGGCTTCAAAGATGTCAGCAATATATTTAGGGGTTGAAATGGACCAGCATCTCAAAATATTCCTGATTTTGCAGCCGTTATAAAGGTCACAAATAGAAGCCAAAGGACACGAAATCTTGCATGAAGTTAGAATTTAAGACAGCGGGTAGAATGGACCACTACTTTTTTTGTGAAAAAATACCAACATTACTTACATGTGATATTCGAAAAACACAATAAGCGAACTTCTAGCTTTTTTATGCTGATTTCGTTGACGAATACAGTCAAATTGCTTTTGGAGATGATCGCAAAATATTTAGGGATTCAGATGAACCAAAAACAGAAAAAATCCTGATCACACAATTGAAGCCAATCGACATGCCTGAGAAGATAGTTAAGCAGAGTGAAGAATTCTAGCATTTTGGACGACCATTGGATTATATTTAGCCGTAAAATGGACCACAACTAACAGCACGACGGAGTGCATAAATATCGGGAAAATGTCCCTGGTCAAAATGCCAAGGGTAATATCTGGGCAGTGCTCCGTGACATAATTTCAAAAGCGAAATCTTCCAAAATGGATTTGGACATGAGGGGGCTTCTCACATATTGTAGTGTTGTAGGGTATCACATGGTCGGCCCCGCACGACTATAGGCTTTGCTTATTTGTTTTAAAATGTTATTGAATGAAAGCAAAAAATTCAATAAAATGTAAAATTATGGCGATTGACTTTGTTGCAGTTTTTTTATCTCACCCTGTATATTATGTCTGCAGGATGTTTGCTATTGAAAATGGGCCATGTAAGTCCACGTTTTGATATAACCCCCATATAACCTTCCTTATTTTTTGTGTTTTGGTAATTAAAGCGACATTATTCCCGGAATTGCTTCAAATTTGGTATTTGAAGTTTGTAATAAATACAGCCTAAAACATAAAATGGGCCATGTAGGTCCACGTCTGCATATAGCCCCCATACAACTATATTCAGTATTTTGATGATTTTACCGATGTTCGTAATGGATACTATAGCCTATGACAGAAAATTGTCTGTGCAGGTCCACGTCTTCGTATAGCCCCCATATAACGATACCCCCTGATATTCGGTATTTTGATGATGTTAGCGACATTATTTACCGTAATTGTTTCAGATTTCGCATTTGAAGTTCGTAATGCATACTACAGCCTCTGACAGAAAATTGTCTGAGCAGGTCCACGTCTTTTATAGCCCTCATAGAACGGTACATCCCGATATTGGATACTTTGATGATTTTAGCGACTTTAGTCTCCGGAATTGTTTCAAATTTGGTATTTGAAATTGTAATGGATACTACAGCCTATGACAGAAAATTTTTCAGATCCACGTTTTGGTATACACACCATATAATGGTACCTTCCTATATTCTGCATTTTGATGATTTTAGCTACATTATACATAGATTTTTTTCAAGTTTCGCATATTGTAATGGCTTATGACAAAGGTTGCATATGCAGGTGCACGTCGACGTATAGATCCTAATATAACTGCTAAATTCGCTACTTTTAAGATTTTACTTTTTTTTTGTTAATTGCCAAGTTTGCTCCAAATAGTGGAGGGTATTCAAAGTTCGGCCCGTCCGAACATACAGCTTTTTTTGTTTTTAAAAAAGGTTCTTTTACTATCCATAATCGTCATTAAGCACAATTTTATATATCAAAACCGCTCCTTGTAGTAGAAGAAATTTCCATATGTGCAATCAATCATAAATCGCTTAGAAAATCTAATTAATTGGTAGCTGGATCCCCCGCCGTCACATCATACCTGGAAAATGTGTGTCCCCATACACAAGGTATCAAACAGGCAATTTTATTGACAAAAAAATAAGCAAACTCAGACACTAAATACCTAAGCACTTGAGGGGGGTGGTAAAACAGAATGGTCAGCCATTTGTCTACAAAATCGAGGCCATCGGTTCATATATATATATATATATATATAGCTTTAACGCCCATACGTATGTATCTCTTATACGATTTTATATTAAATCCTTCTCAAATCATAATATGCACTCAATACTAAATGATATTTATTGCAAGAGGTCATATACAACAGAAAAAAAAATCTCCTTTAAAATTTGTGGAAATCGATTTAGATAAAAATATAGCTCTAATTTATTACAATCGTTCTACTCAGTATACATACTGGTGTAGGTTGTAATATGGTCGGCAACACCCCGCTGAAATCTTTTGTTTTTTTTTTTCTCCCTTAGAATGACAAAAAAATATATAAAAACAGGAGATAAAGTTTTTTTTATTATTTTTATCACTCTATTTTTGCATGCCACTGATCTAAACAAGTGTTCCATGCACACATTTTTTGTTGTCTCAACTGAAACAAATACACCGCACCGCTGTATCAACATTTTTGGTTTTTGTTTTGATTCTTGTTTATTTGTTCTGTTGTTTAGACAAGCTATTAAAATAACAATATAAAAGGAAAACACGTGTTTTAACAACCTTTGTAAATAGTTACTTAATTTAAACCTAAAAATTTATTAAAAAAAATAAATAAAAAATAAGTTGATCGAACAGTGTTAGATAAAATCAAAATTCTTTTGGTATTCAATTGTGATCGGTGGTGTCCATAAATAGAGTCAGAATTTTTATGAGAGTAGTGTCCCCTATATTAGAAACGGTAGACCTTCGCAAGAGAGAAAAGTTTTGTTTGTAACTGCATGAATAGACATCGATGACTGTGATATAAAAAGAGATGAAGAGAGGGGAAAATCGATTAACAGAGATGCCACTATTTTCCACAGTTTAATTAATTTGGAACTATCGCATAACAAAAAGTCTCCTTAACAAATTCTAGGTTTATTATTCATTATTATTAGATTTATTATGGAAGTCTAGTCAAATATTTTTCACGGAACTGTTTCAAATGTTTATATATTCTCAGTCATATGGCTACAGAGTGTATATACCATTTGATACGGCCAAAACGTGCCTTATCGAAATAATGAAACAAACCTGTTTCAGGACATTTGGAGTCGATGTAGGGGTGTCCGTCCGTCTGTCTATCCGTCTGGCTGGTGCGAATGATAACTCTCGAATGGATTTCATTCAAACTTGGTACATCGTAAGATTATTTTCAAACTTCGATAGAGTTCGGAGATGGCTTAAATAGGTTAACTCCTTCTGGTACCTCCACCAAAAATGTCAAAATTTATATATGGGAAATGTGGGAACAAAAGGTTTACATTTTAAGGAATTATTCGCATAAACTTGAAAATAAATGTATGATGTTCACCCCAATATTTATACCCTACAACGTCTGTGTTGGGGGTATTATAAGTTTGATTGGGCCAATAATTATGTAACACTTCGAAATATTGATTTGCCACATAGGAAAGTATATATGGATCTTCCAATCTCGTCGAGCTGAGTAGATCTAGCTATGTATGTCTGTCTGTCCGTCCGTCCATGTAAATTTGTATCCACTATACAGGTCGCAATTATAGACAAATCGACGCGGAAGATTGCATGGGCCTAGAGCTTAGGGCTGGACAGGAGCGTTCCAATGTTGATAGTTATGAAATAGACACACATGGTCGGCACCGTACGTCTATAGCCTTTGCTTACTTGTTTTTTTCTCAGTTTTCGATGAAGTGGAATAATACACTATATCTGGTAACTTACGCACAAATTTTTTATTTTCCAATAATTATTAAATTTTTCATGAGAATGTGAATGAAGTAGTCGATATAGCTCAAATCTGGTACATTTATATCAGAATTAGGCCAGATACGAAATGGACAACATTGGTCCACTCCTTTGGACTCTCCCTCATTAAGGGTCCACAGTTTGAATATTCATAATGCAAGTCAAAATAGATTTTAATAAATGAACAGTAGCTCAGGGTATAAATCTGTCGTCAAAACCGACACCTACTTTTTAAGGTGTTTAACTTTTCTGATGATATTTGCAGTTTATAGTGAAATACGTTCAAATATTTTATCCAGGTAATTTTAATTTTTAGCTCTTGGTAGGGGGTATTGAAAGTTCGGTTCGACCGACCTTAATGCTTTTTTATCCATCTTAAGGGGAACGTAAATTTTTATTATTTAAAAATTAAAGAAAATAATAAAACATGAACTGATAATTTGTCGTCCAGTATCAAAGAACCCCCATTCACTCCAGTATAAATATATAAGCAACGTTTATTTTTTGTCTCCTTCATATTCGTTTATTTAATTCGAATGAAATTTCACATAATCTCTGATTTGATTAATTAAAAAAAATATTTAAAACTATCACAGATGACAAATACCAAAGGAACTAATAATTATTGGTAGTAATCTTTATCTCTTTTTATCTTCTATTTCTTATTCTAAAATATACAGAACATTTGCCAAATATTTACAACTTAAGGTAAAAATAAATAAATACTCTATTAAAACGAGGTCTGTGTTTTTTGCACAGCAAAGCAACACAAACGAAACGAACAAAAAAAAACCTCTTAAATAGAACGCACATACAAACGCACGAATAACACTTCATTCATGTCCACAAACAAACAGAGCGATGCTCTTCCTCTCCAGCGACATAAAATGGAGTCACTTCAGATATTCATTTTCCAATGCAATAACGTCCAATTAGTCTACTCCGCTTCATTAGATTCGCCGATCAAAGCACAAAAGCAAATATCCAATCGAGAAATTTCGCCACATCCGTATAGACCACGTACTGATTAATGCTGCAACTTCTTGTGGCGGTACGTGACTTTGTTCTTTTCGTTTGCATCTCGAACATGGGCAACGACCCCGACACGGTTCCTCGCAGAACCCATCGATTGTTGCGAAAAATCATTAGACCAGCACCGGAATCACCTGTACATGGACCCTGATGCAGTTGTTTGTTGAAGACCAAAGGTTTGGATGCCAGCGATTTTGTGTAGAGCAATTGATCGTACATAATGCCAGCACAAAATGTTCGATTCGAGGTAAGACTCTTATATTTGGGATTAGCAGCAAAACAAACGTTATTCGATACAACGGGAGTGCTGATTATCTTAGGCACGGTACTGGTGGTGGACATTTGTTTGGTGGTATTAAAGCCACCCAATCCCCAACCGACAACAATTCCAGGCTCACCTTCAATAAATTCGATCGATGTGGATCCAGTCCACATGCAAGCCGGACGAATGAATGTATTGTATCTAAAAGAGAGGAGCGAATAAATTAAATTACGAAATTGATAATAACAAATTAAGCCGCATTATTTAAGGCGCATACTTAAATACAATTCCTGTTTCCTGAGACAAGAAAAAATCTTCAGACACTTGGGCCAGATTTTATTCTATAGAGAAAAAATTTAATTCACTGAGGCCAGATTTTATTCTATAAAAAACCACATCGGATTATACTCTATTGAAAAAACTCAGTTAATCGCTGATGATTTTTTCTATCGAAAAACCCTACCTTACCCTACAACACTATGTGGAAGAGGTATTATGGGTTTCGTTGGGCCAACAATTATGTAACACCTCGAAATATTGATCCCCGACATAGGAAAACTATATGTGGATCCTCCTAACCAGCCGAGCTGAGTCGATCAAGTTATGTCTCTCCATCCGTCCGTCTGTCCATGTTAATTTGCAATCACGCACCAGGTAGCAATTATGGCCCGATCCTAACAAAAACGAAAATGGAGGTGAGGTTAGGGTCACAATAGAAGCCTTTTGTTTTTGGAGATGATCGCAAAATATTTAGGAGTAGAAATGGATCATAAACACAAAAATCTCATGATTTTGCTGTTGCTCTACAGATACCCTACACCACATAGTGATAAGAGTATTATGTCTTTGTGCATTTGTTTGTAACATGGAGAAGGAAACGAGATAGATCCATAGTTCCTTTTGGTGATCAACATAGAATCACGTTTTGAGTCGCATATGCATGTCCGTCCGTCTGTTTGTCCGTCTATCAATGTATTTTTGTAAACAAATTGCAGGTCGCATTTATTATTCGTTTGAGATGAACTGTTCTAAATAGCATTTTTTTGGTTCAAGGACGAACCCTATTGAAATTAGTGAAAATCGGTCCAAATTTAAATATAGCTCCCGTATATATCTTCATCCGATTTTAGGTTTCTTGTGCACCAAATGGCTAATATCAGTCCAAATGCTGTGAATTTTGCTACATCCGACCGAATTCAGTCTACAAGCATGTGCTTCAAATTTGGTGAAAATCGGTTCAGATATAGCTATAGCTCCCATAAATATGTTTCATCCGATTTGGGGGTTTAAGTCCCTCACAAGCGTTATATGCATTCCACAACAATGTTATTTGGTACTAGATATCAGGTACAGCCCTGAAATAAGTGTTTCAAATATTGTCAAGATCGGTTTAGATTTGGATATAGCTTCCATATATACCTTCCACCGATTTCGGGTTAATTGTGCACCAAATAGCCAATATCAGTCCAATTGTCCTGAATATTCGCATATCCGACCGAATTCAGTCTAGAAGCAAGTACATGAAATTTGGTGAAAATCGGTATAGATATAGCTATAGCTCCCATTTCGGGTTAATTGTGCACCAAAAGGCCAATATCTGTCAAAAAGTCCTGAATTTTGGTATATCCGACCGAATTCAGTCTAGAAGCAGGTACATCAAATTTAAAAAAATCGGTTAAAATATATATAAGTCCCTCACATTCGTAATATGCATTCGACAACAATGATATATGGTACCAGATATCTTATAAAGCTCGGAAATACCTTAGAGTTTAGGGCTGGGCAGGAGCCTACCAATTTGGATGAACAACGGAATATATTTACCGGGTAAAATAAACTATAACATTTGTTTAAAACAATACGATAATTTCCACCGAACCGAAAATATTTTTTATCCGGGCCAAATCACAGATGCATTAAAAGGTCACTTCGGATATATAACAAAATATGTACAATATATATGTGAAAGAAAGAGATCTTCTTCTATTCTGCTTATTGGTCAAAAAACCCTGGACTTATTTTCAAAATTCTCGTCAATTCGGAAAATTTAAAAAAAGGATAAAATCTAAGAAAATCGCATAAAAATATGACTATAAAAATTCAATATTTCTTGCTTTCTGATTTCTTTTTTGCTTTCTGATTTTTTGCTTTCAATTTTCTTGAAATTCTGATCTTGAAATTTGCAAAATTTGCTCAAAATCGAACGATCCTTTCTCTTTCTATTATTTATTATTATTTTCTTTGAAAAGGTTGACCTTTTGTGGACCGATGTTGCCCATCTTCGAACTCGATATAAGTTTGACAATAATATTACGATATACCAAGTTTGGACCAAATCGGATCCTCCCTTCTAGAGTTATGGTGCGCACCAGCCAGCCAGACGAAAGGACACCCTAGCTCGATTCAAAATGTTCTGAAGCGTATTTGGTCTAAAGAGACATAGGGTCTAAAATCGTTATTTCGATGAGAAGAGCCCGCATTCAATTGAGGTATTGGAAGTCAATATTGAAGCATTTATCCTTGAGATATCGGCCGAATTGTTGGAAATAGTATGCCAAAATTGGACTAAGCGAATAGACTATTACATGGACCGTACTATTAATTCAAATAAATACTTGAAGGATTTTTTAGCTCTCTTAAAAAATCAGTTTTAGTTTTTGGCTTTAAAAATTTTACTTTTATAAAAAATCTCAAAAGTTTTTAAAATCTAGCCAAGAAAGTACATTTACTTTAAATCCTTACCTAACTTCATTTTTCAGAACCACAACGGCAATATCGGCATCGTACGAACTCAAATGTTGATTGTAGTCCGGATGTATGAATATATCATCGACTGGCGCTGCTACCGAACCTTCTTCATTCCAATTCTTCAGATTGTGACGTCCGAGAAAGACGAGTACCTCATTGGCGGTGTAACGTTTCTTAAACAACTGAAAGCAATGGGCCGCACTGACAACAATACGCGTTGAGATCAATGTACCACCACATTGATACGCTAACGAAGTTAAATTATTTACATAGACGGCAGCCAACCAGGGCCAAGCACCGCGTGTTATTGTCGGCAGTTCATTGATGGTCAGCGAACCAGTGTCGCTAATGGATTCATCATCGGCAAAGAAATCCGTTTCGCCGTCAATATCGGTGGTAACCAAAGGTGGTAAGTCGATGCCATCATCATCATCACCGTTGTCGGCCTCATCAGTCCTTTGGCCAACCGCTGGGATTTCATCAATATTGTCCTTCCGCTGCAACAATAATGTTGACAATATGGAACGAATATTATCCATTGGGTTACTAAACTGCTGTTGTGGGTGTTGTTGTTCTTGTCTTGCTGTCTCTTCATTGCCATCGGAAGAGGGGTTGGCTGATTTTTGCTTCAAAGCTTTCATAACTTGAAAACGTATACGGTCATCGATAGTGCCACAAATATCCTTGGAAATACGCAAAGGATTCCTGGAATACAAATGCAAAAACAACAAGTAAAAAGCAGTAAGTTCGGGTCCGGACCGAAATTTGAATACCCTCCACCATTTGAAAAGAATTTGGAAATTTTCAAAAAAAAATCCGTAAACCAGTAAAGAAAGTCTTAAAGTCGGGCGGGCCCGACTTTATGATACCCTACATCCCTTTGCTAATTTAGTAGAGCTCCACATAACAATTAAAAGTTTTTATGGAGAAAGGACTAAATATGCCGAAGCATTTGTATCTTTTAAATTCGGACTTGTATTGCCCATTTGGTGCACAATTAATTTGAAATCGGATAAAGATATATATGGGAGCTACATCCAAATCGGAACAGATCTCGATAAAATTTGGCAAATGTATTTCTGAGCTGTATTTGATATATTTCCCCAAATATTGTATTTACAGGGTGCATATTAAGGCTGCGGAGGACAAAAATAACAAATCGGATGAACAATATATGGGAGCTATAGCTATATCTGAACCGATTTCGATCAAATTTGGCATAATTTGGTTGTATGTGCAAAATTCCATACTATTCGGGCTGATATTACACGTTTGGTGCACAATAAAATGCAAATCGGACGAATGGGAGCTATATCTAAATTTTGACCGATTATCTCCAATTTCAATAGGGTTCGTCCTTGGGCAAAACAAATGATTTGTCCAAAATTTCATCTGGATAGGGCAATAAATGCGAACTGTATTTTGTTTACAAAAATACATGGAGAGACGGACGGACGGACGGACAGACGGACATGCATAAATCGACTCAGAATGTGATTCTATGCAGATCAACAAAAGGAACTATGGGTCTATCTCGTTTCCTTTTGTCTGTTACAAAGAAATGCACAAAGACATAATACCCTGACCACCTTGTGGTGTAGGGTGTAAAAAGCAGTAAGTTCGACCCAACCGAACTTTGATTACCCTCCACCATTTGGAACGAATTTGGCAATTCTCAAAAACAATAAAATCCGTTAAAAATTCTATTAAAATCTTAAAAATACCGAATGTGGCTGTTATAGGTAACTTTTGTCATAAGCCATTAGAATATTCGAATGCGAAACCTAAAAAAATCGGTAACAATGTAGCTAAAACCATCAAAATACCCTATATCGGGAGGTACCGTTATATGGGGGCTATACGAATACGTTGACCGGCACAGACAATTTTCTGTCTTAGGCTGTAGTATTTATCACGAACTTCAAATACCAAATTTGAAATAATTCCGGCAGATAATGTCGCTAAAATCAACAAAGTATCGAATATCGGGAGGTACCGTTATATGGGGGCTATGCAAAGACGTGGATCTGCTCAGACAATTTTCTGTCTGAGGCTGTAGTATCCATTGCGAACTTCAAATACCAAAATTTGGAGCAATTCCGGTGAATATTGTCGCTGAAATCAAAATACCGAATATCGAGGGGTACTGTTATATGGGGCTATACGAAGACGTGGACTCGTATAGGAAGTTTCCGTCATCAAAATACCGAGTACCTATTATGAACTTTTAATACGAAATTTGAAACAATTCCGGTGAATATTGTCGTTGAAATCATCAAAATACCGAATATAGGGAGGTGCCGTTATTTCGGGATCCATACGAAGACGTGGACCCACATGGCTCATTTTCTGTCAAATACCAAATTTGAAACAATTCCGTTAAATAATGTCGCTAAAATCATCAAAATACCGAAAATCGAAAGGTACCGTTATATGGGGTTATACGAAGACGTGGGCCTTCACAGACAATTTTCTGTCATAGGCTGTAGTATTTATTACGAACTTCAAATACCAAATTTAAAACAATTCCGGTAAAAAATGTCGCTAAAATCATCAAAATACCGCATATCGGGGGGTACCGTTATATGGGGGCTATACGATATCCCGGACCTATATATATATAATTCTCTTCCCGGGGATAAAGTACTCACAAATAATTGTTTGTGTAGAATGTCAGGCAATGCCATTGAAAACCCGTTATATGGGGGCTATACGATATCATGGACCGATATAGCCCATCTTCGAACTTGACCTGCAGACAAAAGACAGCCCTGTGCAAAATTTTAGCTCCTACCTTAATTCGTTTTGATTGTAGCGTGATTACAACAGACGGACAGGGCTAAATCGTCTTAGAATTAGTTATATTGGATCTATATGAAACGTGGACCTGCTTCATTTCGTTCGGAAGCTAGAGTGATTTCCACAGACGGATAGACGGACGGACATTGCTAAATCGTCATAGAATTTTATGCTTATCAAGAATATATGTACTTTGTGTGTATGACAAACTTAATATACCCTCCATACTATGGTAGAGCGTATAAAAACGAGAAATGAAGATGAAAACAATTTTTCAATCTCTTGGCCAAAGCAATGATTTGATTCTTTTTCTTCTGGTCTTCATCGGGTCTCTCATGTCACATTGGGCATTAGTGTGTGTGTGATAGTTGTGATACAACGGCATCCAGCCGTAATACTTACTTATCCATGCTGGAAGTGAGAGGCAAATGTTTGGTGCCAAATGCTATATTCGTCGGTGGCACCATTGACGAATCCTTAAGACCTGTTGTTATCGGCAGCATTGAAATAGACGAGCTGCCACCCACCGTTGTTGTTGCTGTTGCTGCTGCTGACGATGCAGTTGAAGGCAACACGGATGATGATGAAGACGACGACGATTGTAGGGGAGGTGCTTGCTGTTGTTCCTCGGATAAAAATGTGAACTTCCTTGTGTGTTCCAATTGTATTTGTGTCACGAAGATACTGTGATCTGTTTTTTAAGATAATGTTTTTCGCACACACACACATTCACACTTGCCAATCCATAGATGTGACATAGAACACATCCGTTGAGCAACATGTTGAATGGTGTTGATGTAGCCAAATACATGTAGTATATGTTGGGTTGATTGTGATGGATGCATCACCATCAGCATTGTGTCGAAGATGATGATGACGACAACGACGACGACGATGATGATGTTGGTGATGGTTGTGACACAGTGATAATGTTCATAGTGGTGTTTGGCAGATAATGTCGTCCATGTCGTCGGCATACAGCGACAGACAGCATCAAAATAAATGTAGAAAATCGACACATCCCCCGCCCGAACAAAGGAGGCATGACAATGTCAGAGGAGTCCATCACATCAGGCAGCACACAACAACGTAACGTTATAATGAATGAATGAATGAAAATGAACGAACAAAAACAACAAGAGGGGTAAATTTGTGTTATTCTTCAATATTAAATAGCAAATGTTAAATTTTTAAAAAAATGTCTCTGGACATTTACTTTGTTTGGCCTTCCAATTTGAATGGCTCATCAATACTTTACCTGCAGTCCCAAGACAAACAACGTGATTATTCGTCGTGATTTGCAGCAGTTTTGGTGGGAAGTGATTTTTCGGAAATTTGATTTTGTAAAGTACCGGCGCCTCACTTAAAAATTGTCCACGTGTCAACAATTCAATTTCGCCCAAATAATTCTGTTGTTCGACATCGGGTTTCGGTTTCCGTTCGAGCATTCGGTCGGTCGGTCGGCCACGCCGTGTATGGTCGTTCAGCAAACCGGAAAAAGGAAGAACAGAACAAATAAAAAAGGATTAAATTAAAATTGGATTTATTTACACTGGAGAAATGCTTTCGTAAGTACAACAACATGAGTGGGTAAATCAAGGAATCAAATAAAAACACTTGACACCTGAATAAAAAAATGAAACAGAAAATAGAAAGAAAATAGTAAAGAACTCAGACATCAGCACCAAAAGATTATTTAAATTGTCCAAAATAGAAATATTGTTTTGGATGGCTATTAAAATCAATTTACCATGCCATATAACACTTGGCAAAGGAGTGGACCAATATTTTAAATTTTTACATTCGAATTCAACATAAATGAAATATCGCGCTATACGCTCTAATTTCGCTTGTCATATGTTGTATTTTTTACCCTCAGCCATATGGCTATATACCCTATATCATTTGATAAGGCATGCCATTGAAAAAACGGCTTTAGACCCAAGGTCTTTTTGGAACAAATCTTTTTCAGGACATTTGGAGTGGAGCTAGCGATGTCCGTTCGTCTGTCTGGCTGGCTGGTGCGTACGATAACTCTCGAAGGGAGTATCTGATTTGGTCCAAACATGGTACATCGTAATATTTTTGTCAAACTTAGATCGAGTTCGGAGATGGGCAATATCGGTCCGCTTCTTCTGGTACCTCCCCCACAAAATGTCGAAAATTTCTAAGAAAATAATTCACTGTTGCAAAATGGCCAGGCTTAATCCCTTTATTGTTATACCCTACAACACTATGTGTTGGGGGTATTATAAGTTTGATTGGGCCAGAATTTATGTAACACCTCGAAATATTGGTTTCCCATATAGGAAAGTATATATGGATCTTCCTAGCTCGCCGAGGTGAGTCGATCTAGCTATGTATGTCCGTCCGTCCGTCTGTCCGTCTGTCCATGTTAATTTGTAATCACGCTACAGGTCGCAATTATGGCCCGATCCTAACGAAATTTTGCACGAAGGTGGGGTTAGGGTCAGAATAGAAGCCTATTTCTTTTGGAGATGATCGCCAAATGTTTAGGGGTTGAAATGGACCAAGTATTGAAAAAATTTTTGCAGTAGCTATACAGGTCGCAATTATAGACCAATCGACGCAGAATTTCACATGTAGCTAGAGTTTAGGGCTGGGAAGAAGCCTACTAATTTGGGTGGTGGTGAACGATGGTAATGTTTATCAGGGGGTAAAGCAGGGAATACCTAGGTTTCGGAAAGAGCCACCAATCCTCATCAGTTCCCTTGTTTTTCGTCTGAAATATTCTCCCCAGAAGTTATTTTAAAATAACTTCTATGACAAAAAACTTTTTTTTTTACCCAAGTGACGAGGAACAGAAGAATTAAATAAAACAAAAATTCTCTTGGAGAATCTTCTAAATCCAGACAAAAACAAGGGAGCTGATGAGGATTGGTGGCTCTTTCCGAAACCTAGGTATTCCCTGCCCCCTGGTAAACATTACCACCGTTCTCTACTAATAAACAAACGTTGTTTTTTATAAAAACAACAATAAGGAGATTAAGCCTGACCATTTTGCAACAACAAAATACTATGGTATGCCGAACAAACAAGCCAACACTGTTCTGTTCACTGTCAAAATTTTGAATAATTACAACTCTTGTAAAATGTGATGTAAACTCCGATTGTCTTTAAATCTCACACATCCCAATATGTTTTAAACCAAGGTCTGGTGTTAAGATGGAATATATCGGTCCACAACTTTTGGTACCTCTTCCACAATAGGTCGAAATTTTCAAAAAAAATTATTTTCTGCACAGAAGGAGAAGCTATAATCCGATTTGCAGATCCTAATTTTTGTATCGGTGCTAAAATGGACAATATCGGTTCACTCCTTCTGATACCTCCCCCAAAATAGGTCCACATTTTCAAAAGATATATTTTCTGCACCGAAAGTGAAACTCTAATCCGATTTCGCTCCAACTGTACAAATCCTAATATTTGCATCAGTACTAAGTCAGGAGCTAAAATCGACTATATCGGTCCACTCAATCAAGCATCTACCTCCCCACAAAGGGTCAACATTTTCAGTAATTACAACTCTTATAAAATGTGCTCTGAGAGTCCGATTTTCTTCAAATTTCATACTTCCCAGTATTTTTATTAAACCAAGGTCTAGTGTTAAGATGGAATATATCGGTCCACTCCTTTCGGTATCTCCCCCACAAAAGGTCTAACTTTTCAAAAAGTATATTTTCTGCACTGCACTATAATTCGATTTCGATCCAACTTTGCATATCTCAATATTTGCATCAGTGCTAGGTCAGTTGCGAAGATGGACAATATCGGTCCACGCCGTCAAGTACATTCTCCTCCAAATTGTTAAAATTTTGAAAAATTCCAACTCTTATAAAATGTGAAAAGAAAATAATAATAATAAGAAAACAAGTAAGCAAAGTCTATAGTCGTGCGGGGCCGACTATGTAATACCCTACAACACCACAATATCTTAGAAGCCCTCTTATTTCCAAATCCATATTGGAATTTCAAATTAGGATTTTGACGAGGGACATTTGCCCAATATTTATGCACTCCGTCGTGCGGTTAGTTGTTGTAGTCCATTTCACAGCTAAATATAATCCAATGGTCATCCAAAATGATAGAATTCTTCCCTGTCCTTAACTCTCTTCACAGGCGTGTCGATTGGCTTCAATTGTGTGATCAGAAAAACATTTATGTTGTTGGTTAATTTGAACCCCAAATACTTTGAAATCATCTTCAAAAGCAAGAAGCCCCTCTGTATCTCCAAATTTAGACTCATCTATATGATTTGCTTGTCTACGATATTTGGCTATATTCGTCAACGAAATCAGCATAAAAAAGCCAGGTGTTCGTCTTTTGCGTATTTCGGATATCGCCTTTAAGTAATGCTGAAATTTTTTCACACAAAATTAGTGGTCCATTGTACCCGCTGTCCTGAACTCTAACTTTATGCGAGATTTCGTGTCATCTGGTTTCTACTTGTGACCTTTATAACGGCTGCAAAATCAGGAAAATTTTAAGTTGTTGGTCCATTTCAACCCTTAATATATTGCGGACATGTTTGAAAACAATAGACCTAGCCCTTCTGAGCCCAACCCTACGCTTGTGAAAATTTTCGTGAGGATCGGACGATATTTGCAATCCTTATTTAATAATCCCAACCTGTGTTGTAAGCTGAAAAAAAAGTAAAAAATAGAACAGTGTTGGCTTGATTGTTCCTGTTACCGTAGTATTTTGTTTTTGCAAAATGGTCAGGCTTTATCCCTTTATTGTTGTTTTTATAAAAACAACGTTTATTTATTAGTGGAGAACGAAGATAATGTTTACCAGAACGATGGTAATGTTCCGAAACCTAGGTATTCCCTGCCTTACCCCCTGGTAAATATTACCATCGTTCTCCACTAATAAATAAACGTTGTTTTTATAAAAACAACAATAAAGGGATAAAGACTGACCATTTTGCAAGAACAAAATATTAAAAAATATTATAAGTCAAATTGAAAAAATCGCATGCGATAAAAAATCTGAATAAATGATAAAAATGTCACAAAATACTACAAAATCTATATTAACATCATTATTGGCATATTTTTCTGCGATTTTTTTAGATTTTATACTTTTATGTCAAGAGGGCATTCCGAATTGACAAAATTTGTCAAAATCGGTCCAGCCATTCTTGAGACACAAGCATTCTAACTAACATCCCCTTCCTTTGTATATACACATTGTATATATTTCGCTATATATATCCGATATAGAATTGAATTGACCAGTTCGTCTATTTGTGATTTCGCAGGAATTAAAAAAATTCGTGATTTAATGGAAAATTTGATTTTTATTTGACACAAATGTTGTGGCCTATTTCACCCACTAAATATTACCCCATGACCATCAAAATTGGAAGACTTCTAGCCACCCCTAAGCTCTAGCCCCATGGTAACTTTCGCTTTGATTGGTCTATAATTGCGACCTGTAGAGCAACTGCAAAATCAGGAATTTTTTCAGTTTTTGATCCATTTCAACCCCTAAATATTATGCGATCATCTCCCAAAGAAATAGGGTTCTATTCTGACCCTAGCCCCACCACCAACACATAGTGTTGTAGGGTATAATAATTTACTGCACAGAAAGGGAAAGGATAAACCGATTTTGCTCCGAATCCTAATATTTGCATCAGTGCTAAGTCAGGAGCTAAAATAGACAATATCGGTTCACTCCATCAAGTAACTCCCCCACAAAGGGTCAAAATTTTAAATGATTATAACTCTTCCAAAATGTGATGTTAGACTCCAGTTGTCTTCATTTGTCAACATTTTTTTAAAACCAGTATCAGGTGATAGGATGGAATATATCGGACTACTCTTTCTGGTACCTCCCCCACAAAAGGTAGAAATTGTGAATATCCATTAAGCTCATAAAATACGAAATTAACATTCGATAACATTCAGACTTGGCACATCAACACAGGATCTGTTATAAAAACGGTAGAGATCGGACCATTCCTTCTGGTACCTCCCCCACAAAGGGTCAAATTTTTGAATAACCAAAACCTTTACAAAATCCAAAATAAGCATCAAGTTCTCTTTATATTTCACACATCCTATTATTTTTACTAAAACAAGATCTGTTGTGAGGATGGGATGTATTGGTCCATTTCTTATGGTACATCCCCCAAAAAAGCTCAAAATTTTGAATATCCATTAAGCTCATAAAACTCGAAATTAGCATCAGATTCCATTCAGAATTGACACATCTCAATATTTTTATCACCACAAGATATGTTATAAAAAGATCGGGCAGCTGTGAAAATGGGCTATATCACCGCACTCCTTCTGGTACTTCCTCTACAAAGGGTTCAAAATTTTGAAAAACAAAATGCTCATAAAACACGATATAAGCATCCAAGACTTTTCAGGTTTCGGACATCCAAAGATTTTTCCTAACGCAAAATCTCTTGTCAAGATGATATATAAGCCCCTTCTGGCGTCTCACCCAAAAATTTATTGTTTTTATTGTTTTTTTTTGTTATTTTTATTGTTTTGAAAATTTGAAGCTGGTTATATGGGGAGCAGAGGTGTAGCGATACCAAGATTTACAGCAAAATAAAAATTTAGGAAGGATGGAGAAAATAGTGAATTTATAACACATTTTTGACAGGTAAGGGAAGGAGTGGACCAACATTGGGATTTATTGCATTCACTCTGGACCTAGCGTTGGTAGAAATATCGTAATGTGCGTAGTTCGACCAAAATTGGGGAATTGTTTTTCATTTAAATGAATTCAAAAAGTATTCCCAATTTTAGCTCTATCCGTTTGAACAATACAATGGATTCAATTGTTAGTACATTTTTAGTACTTTTAGTACACTTATGGCTCGAATTTCCAAAAACTCAGCCTTTTCTCACCCCAAAACGTCAGCATTTACGTACAATCAAAATTTCAAGATTCTAGCTTTAGCCGTTTCTCCTTGGCGTTGATGAATCTGTCTGTCAGTCACTCACCATTCTACATGTATACATGTATATAGATTAGTATTTCATATTTCAAAACACCACTTTCTCCTGCGACCTGAAAAATTTATTTTAAATTCCGCTTCAGCCATATCTTTGCACCAAATTGAAAGTCTTTTTTTCATATAAGCCTAAATATACGTTTTTTGTCGTTATAGTGACCTTGAGAGGAACTTAATCCTTACCGATCAAGACATGACAAACTCAATTCAGTCTACTTGAAATACACCAACGTAATCCACTCTTTGAAATTCTTAACTAAATAAATCAAATTCTATTACGACCTTACCGTTGTCGGTTTGCCCCTCATCGATAGGATGACCCGCAAATGTAAAGCTTGTCCAAAATCTGGATTTCGCACCGACAAGATGCCAAACCATTGGGCACCATCGAAACGATATTGAAACATTTTCGGACAGGGACTAATTGGAATGCCCTGGGTAAAGATTTTATTGATATGTTCGAAAATGATAAACAAAATCGTTGTGATGTGTAAATGCATTATCACTTTTCAATTATCACAGCCCAGCTTTTCAACTTTAATGTTTTTATTCCTTTCTCCCGATTATTTGTTTACTCATAGTATGACAGATAATTTGTTGACTTTTAGTTAATTCTTTCTTCTATTGTTCCTTGTTCTTGCAGTCGGCAAGCAAAAGCGTTCTACAATAAATGAGATATAGATTTGAGTGATAATTGCAATTGTGCAGCAAAGGTAGTGAGAGTGAGAGAATGAAGATGAGTGCAAACATAATTTTGATACTCCTCTCTCCAATCGTTTATAAATAGAGCATAAGACATATTTTATGGCGTTGCCACTGTTTTATTTATGTTTCAGAGATTTAAATTGTCTCAATAGCGATTTAATGTCTCAATAGTGATTTAATTTTCTCAATTGTATGCAATTAGCAGTGAGTTCACTTCAAATGTCTCCTAAATTCTGTTGCTTCTGAAAAAGCCTACATACCAAATTAGGTCCTCAGCTGCAGTAAAATATTGCTAAAATAGTAAAAAAATCAGAACGTCCTTAAAAATACTGAAATCCTAAATCATTTTATTTTTTCTTATAAAAAAAGCTTTGTTAGCTGATGTCCGGTATCAAATATAATTGTTGTGGAGTGCATATTGCGCATGCGAGGGACTTTAACACCAAATTGGATGAAACATATATATGGGAGCTATAGCTATATCTGAACCGATTTTCAACAATGTTCATGTAATTGCTTCTAGACTAAATTCCGTTTGGAAGTGCTAAAATTCAGTCCATTTGGGCTGATGGTAGCCATTTGGTGCACAATAAACTTAAATTGGATAAACATATATATGCGAGCTATATCCAAATCTGAACCGATATTGACAAAATTTTACGCACTTATTTCTGAGCTGTATCTAATATCTGGAATCAAATGTCATTCATGTGGAGTGCATATTAGGAATGTGAGGGACTTAAAACCCCTTATAGGATGAAACATATATATAAGAGCTATAAATATATCTAAACCGATTTTCTCCAAATTTCATGTATATACTTCTAAATTTTTCGGTTGGATGTGCCAAAATTCAGGTCATTGGGACTGATATTGACCATTTGGTGCACAATTGACCCGAAATCGGTTGAAGACATACATGGGAGCTATATTTCAATTTAAATTTGAATATATTTGAATTTGGAAGTGATATCGTGATATTATGAAGAAAAATAAGTATGGGTCTATCTCGCTACCTTCTCTTTGTTACAAACAAATGCACAAAGGCATAATACCCTTACCACTATGTGGTGTGGGGTATAAAAAGCTGATATGTTGGGCTTAAAAGTCGGCCTCCACCATGTGGAAGGAACTTGAAAATTTTCAAAAAAAAAATAAATAAATAAACCGTCAAAACATAACGCCCAAATAGAAACCACTGTATGGGACCTATACGAAGTCGTGGGACATATAGGTCCACGTTTTAGTATATAATGGTACCTCCCTATTGTCGGTTTTTTAATATTTTCGGTGAATAATGTCGCTTAACATTATTCTTCGGAAATATTTCAAATTTGTTATTTGAAGTTCGTAATGAATATTACAACCTATGAGAGAAAATTGTCCGTGCAAGTCCACGTCGTCGTATAATCCCCATATAACGGCACCCGATATTCGGTATTTTGTTGATTTTAGCGACATTATTCACCGGAATTGTTTCAAATTTGGTTTTTGAAATTCGTAATGGATACTACAGCCTATGTCAGAAAATTCACGTCTTCATATACCCCCATATAATGGTACCTCCTTATATTCGGTATTTTGACGATTACATTATTGACATTATTCACCGATTTTTTTCAAGTTTCTCATTTGAATATAGTAATGCTTTCTGACAAAAGTTGCCTATGCAGGTCAACGTCGTCGTATAGACCCTAATGGCTACATTCGGTATTTTTAAGATTTTAAAAGAATTTTTAACGGGTTTTATTTCTTTGAAAATTGCCAAATTCGTTCCAAATGGTGACCCAGCCGAACTTACAGCTTTTTTACTTGTTCTTTATATACCCTCCACCGTGGAAGGTATATTAACTTTGTAATTTCGCCCATATATGGTCGTCGTAAACCCCATGATGTACATATATTCATAATCAGTATACAATTCCAAGCCGATTTAGGATGCCCATCTGTCTGTTGAAATCACGATACAGCCCACATTTTGACGTAGAGCTTCAAGATTTGGTTGAACAATTTGTATTGGGTCTAGGTTAGTTGGTGTTGAAAATGAGATATATCGGTCCAAGTTTTGGTACAGTCCCGATATAACGATACCTCCCAATTTTCGGTATTTTGATGATTTTTGCCACATTTTTTCACGGATTTGTTTAAAAATTGGTATTTGTAAGTCATAATATGTTCTAGCTCGTGTGGCGAAAAATTGTGTGTATAGGTGTATTGTATGTATATGTTATATAGCCCCATATAACGGTACCTCCCAATATTCGGTATTTCGATGATTTTTGTCATATTTTTTCACAGATTTGTCTAAAAATTGATATTTGTAGTTAGTAATGGGTTCTAGCTCCCGTGGCGGAACCTATGGGTCCACGTTCAAAGTACCGAAAATTTGGAGGAACAGTATTTTTGTTTTAGCATCAAAAGATTATATCTACTCAGAACTCCAAGTGTCAAGATACACATGATTTTGTTTAAGATTGTGGTCAAAACATTCAAAATACCGAAAATCAGGAATTAACGCTATATTGGGAACATACCAAAACGTGAACTGTTCTACTTCTAATGCCAAACATACTGGGGGTAATATGAATGTCTGAGTAAAATTTCAAAACGATAAAATGCTTCCCCGAATTAATCTTCGTTTTTGAGGATTTCAACCCACTGAGCGATGTTTGTCCCTTCCTTTCTGCTTCATAATGTTTTGACTTATCAAATGTCGGATGAACCGTCTAAAAATAATTCTTCTGTATAATTTTGAAAAAAAGAAAAACGTCTAAAAATAATTCTTCTGTATATTACATATACATATTTTTTTATCGAAATATTACCACCCAACTCTATCACAAATAGTCATCAAGTAGTTAATTATTAGAGAAAAACAAGTAAGCAAAGGCTATAGTCGTGCGGGACCGACTATGTTATACCCTACAATATGTTAGAAGCCCCCTTATGTCCAAATCCATATTGGAAGATTTCGCTTTTGAAATTAGGATTTTGACAAGTGACATTTGTCGAATATTTATGGACTCCGTCGAGCTGTTAATTGTTGTAGTCCATTTTACAGCTAAATATAATCCAATGGACAACCAAAACCTTTACTCTCTTCACAGGCGTGTCGATTGGCTTCAATTGTGTGATCGGAAAAACATTTCTGTTTTTGGTTAATTTGAACCCCTAAATATTTTGCAATCATATCCAAAAGCAAGAAGCCCCTCTGTATTTCCAAATTTAGACTCATCTATATGATTTGCTTGTCTACGATATTTGGCTATATTCGTCAACGAAAACAGCATAAAAAACCAGAAGTTCGCCTTTTGTGTATTTAGGATATCGCCTGTAAGTAATGCTGATACTTCAAAATTAGTGGTCCATCGTACCCGCTGTCCTAAACTCTAACTTCATGTGAGATTTCGTGTTCTTTGGTTTCTATTTGTGACCTTTATAACGGCTGCAAAATCATTAAAATTTTTAGTTCTTAGTCCATTTCAACCCCTAATATATTGCGGACATCTTTGAAAACAGTAGGCCTAACCCTTCTGAGCCCAAACCTACCATTGTGAAAATTTTTGTGAGGATCGGACGATATTTGCAATACTTATATAAAATCCCCAGCCTGTGTTTTAAGGTGAAAAATATTACAAAATATTATAAGTCATATTGAAAAAATAGCATGCGATAAAAAATATGAAAAAATAAAAAAAAATGTCACAAATACTACAAAATTTCTATTAACATCATTATGGCATATTTTTATGCGATTTTCTTAGATTTTATACTTTTATGTTAAGAGGGAATTCTGAATTGACAAAATTTGTCAAAATCATTCCAGCCATTCTGGAGATATAAGCATTCTAGCTAATACCCCCCTTCCTTTGTATATATACATTGTATATATTTCGCTATATTATCCGATATTTTTACTATCGGCATCTACGTAACGGTCAGAATTGACCTGTTCGCCTATTTGTGATTGCGCCGGCATTAAAAATATTCGCGGTTTAATGGAAAATTTGATGTTTATTTATCACAAATGCTATGGTCTATTTCAACCACTAAAGATTACCCGATGGCCATCAAAATTGGAAGGCTGCGGCCCATTCCTAAGCTCTAGCCACATGATAACTTCCGCTTAGATTGGTCTATAATTGCGACTTGTAGAGCAACTGCAAAATCAGGTAATTTTTCAGTTTTTGGTCCATTTCAACCCCTAAATACCATGCGATCATCTCCAAAAGAAATAGGGTTCTATTCTGATGTAAACCCCAGCTCCATTTCGTGAGGATCGGGCCATAATTGCGACCTGTAGAGTGATTACAAATTAACATGGACATACGGACGGACGGACATACGTAGCTAGATCGACTCAGCTCGGCGAGCTAGGAAGATTCATATATACTTTCCTATGTGGGAAATCAATATTTCGTGGTGTTACATAATTTTTGGCCCAATCAAAGTTATAGTACCCCCAACACAAAGTGTTGTAGGGTATAAATATTGACTACGACAAGGAATATCTTATCACAATCAAATCATAACACAATTTAGTGAATGGAGATACAAAAAATTAATAATTCCGATAGCAATACACGATCATAAAACATTTACAGCAGACGTATTCACGGCAACAGCATTACGCCCTGACTACCGAAAAAGACCACCGCTTATCGACGATGATTACACCACAATGGCTTGTTTACCCATAATACCCGGACCAAGTACCCGCCGTTCGCTGTCACTCACAAAATACACATATGGCCCTCATGAGCCAACATTATTCGAAATCCTAAGTAAATAAACAACAATTGTTTCATTTTTGAAATTGTGCTCACATCCAGTCTGGCGGGTGAGGGGGAGAGTTATGGCGCATGTGCTGCTCATTGGCATTTCCCCACCACTTCCAGTTTGCGGCGAATTCGTTGTGAGAGATGACAACCACAGCTGTTGCATTGGGGTTGATGGTCGACAGTTCAATGTGTTGCATGCAACAAGTTGTAACCTGTTGTTGTGATTTATGCTTTTACTTTTCTTTTTTTGCCGGAATTGTACTCCTAGTTGGTGGCTCCAGAAAATGCGTATTGGTTTTTGGTTTGGTTGAGCGCTGACTGACAGAGTTGCTGGTTGTCTGACTGGCTGCTGCTTTTTTGGTTGGCTGACAAATTTCATTAAAAAAAGCCCCAGCCAAAATTAATCCATAAGTTTTTCCTTCTTCGGGTAATGGGTTTCAAAAATATGATGATCATCATCAACAACATAAGGACTCATGCACGAAATAAGTTCTATTTTTATGTGTGGTAAATTCCGTTCCATGTTTAGTTCGTTGTTACTTTTAATTCTTGTTTTGTTTTCTTTCTTGGATTTACACTTGTGTGTGTGTTTGCGTTTTAATGCATTTCAACAGTATTTCAAAAGAAGTTTGTTATACACTCAACATTTCATAGCCACTAGCTGGGAGAAAATAATATGTGAAGACAACAACTGTACAAAGAGTTGTCATGATAAATGCTAACAAGAAATTCATACGTGGTAAATGTGATTTAAAGAGACACCGATTTTTCTCAAATTTTAATTTCTGGCAGCATAACATCTGATGGAGGGTATACAAACATAAATAATTTAACATATGTTTTGGGAACGCCATCTAAGTTTCAGTGATAAATGTTGATATGTTAATATTTTGGGAGTGAAGCCTATCTTAGGGCGTTAAAAAAGTAATGCCCACCATTGCTGGTTTTAATTTTTGAGGATAGGTAAAAAAACTTTTACTCTAAAAATTAAGATTCAGATTTGCTTAATTTGAAATAAGTGTTTGTTTCAAATATTATAAAATAATGATAGATAAATATAAGAGATAAATGTTTCTTATTCAAAAAACCCGGAAGATTTGTTGTTTTTTTTAAGAAGCGGTTTTATTTAATGTTATCTGTTTTTCTGACATTTAGAAAGCAATAAAAATAAAATCGCACCACTTAATATATTTAGTAGACCTACAAGTAACAAACATTTATATAGAGAATATAGGTGAAGTAAGCCAGACCAACAATGATACAGGGTTGCCTATATTCGACGGACCCATCTGGCAACGCCATAACTTTTGACAGAGAAGAATGTAGCCTGCGGACAAGCCTCGTCGATTGGAATGGGCCCAAAGAGTCATCGAAATGACCGAAGATGACGAGCAATTTTGGATCAAAATTTTCATGTCCGATGAAGCCCATTTCACATTGAATGGGACCGTAAATAAGAAAAATTGCCGTTTTTACGCCAGTGAAAATCCTCAGGAGATTCAAGAAGTGCCTCTTCATGACGAAAAAGTCACAGTTTGGTCGGGCTTTAGTGCGAAAACGGTCATTGGGCCGTTTTTATTCCAAAATGAAAATGGTCATGCTGTTACCATCAATCAGGAGCGTTATCGCGACATGGTGACCAATTTTGTGATGCCAATTATTCGTCGAAAGCGTATGAGGCAGTTCTGGTTTCAACAAGACGGCGCCACCGCTCACAAGTCGCATAACAATCGATTTTATGAAGAATTTGTTTCCGGGCCGTTTGAATTCTTCTTGTGGGGATATTTGAAGTCAAAGGTTTACGTTAACAAGCCAAGGACCGTAGAAGAGCTCAAGGACAACATTCGTGAAGAAATAGCCGCTATTCCGGCCGAAATGTTGGCAAAAACGATGGAAAATGCAGCAAAAAGGGCACAATAAGTCATCAACGCCAGAGGCGGCCATTTGAGAGATATCATATTCAAAAATTGATGTAAACAAATCTACTTGGAACAAATTAAATGATTAACATTGCCAACCGCCAAATTTGATTTTTTTTCTTTGATTAAAAAAAAAAACATGGGTCCGTCGAATATGGGCAACCCTGTAGATATTTATTGCATTTATTGTCTGTGGAAATCACTCTAGCTTCCGAACGAAATGAAGTAGATTGATAAAATTTTACTCAAATGTATGTTATGTATGCAGGACTTTTGGTATTGGGCTATGTAGGTCCACGTTTTGGTATAGCCCCCATATATAATGTTGCCTCCCGATATTCGGTATTTTGATGATTTTAGCGACATTATTCACCGGAATTGTTTCAAATTTGATATTTGAAGTTCGTAATGGATGCTACAGCCTACGACAGGAGATTGTCTGAGCAGGTCCACGTCTTCGTATAGCCCCCATATAACGGTACCTCCCGATATTCGGTATTTTTATGATTTAAGCGGTATTATTCACCGGAATTGTTTCAAATTTGGTATTTGAAGTTCGTAATGGATGCTACAGCCTATGACAGTAGATCCTCTGTGCAGGTCCACGTCTTCGTATAGCCCCCATATAACGGTACCTCCCGATAGTCGGTATTTTCATGATTTTAGCGACATTATTCACCGGAATTGTTTCAAATGTACAAATTTTCTACAGACTAAAATATAAAATTATCAGTGCCGGTCCACGTTTTTTTTAAGTTTCGCATTGAATATTGTAATGGCTTATGACAAATGTTACCTATGGAGGTCCATGTCGCCGTATAGACCCTAATATAAACGCTACATTCGGCATTTTTAAGATTCTAACAGAATTTTTAACGGATTTTATTGTTTTTGAGAATTGCCAAATTCGTTCCAAATGGTGGAGGGTATTCGGCCTGGCCGAACTTACAGCTTTTTTACTTATTGGTTATGTATTTCGACCTATTCCCGGCGAAGGGCTTGCTTGAGGTGATCCGCACTTTGGTTTCTTTAGTGCCAACCTAGCTTTCTTATTTAGGCTGCTCCCATTTCTAAGCCAATCGTCCGAAAAAAAACTTATTCGTGATGGAATTCAATGGTGATGGTGTGGGCCGCTATAACAGCCGATGGTCGCTCTCCGCTCATATTAATCGAACGTGGCATCAGAATAAATGCCGAATATTATCGCGAAAAATATTCTAGAGTATGTATTAAAACATTAGGCATGCAAACATTATTTCTTATATTTTTGCTTTCATTCAATACAATTAAAAAAAATTAAAAGATTATGGCGTTTGACTTTGTTGCAGTTTTTTATTTCGCCCTGTATATGGGAGCTATAGCTATATTTGGAGCGATATTCACCAACTCTTATATATAGTATGGTATTACCATATATATAAGATATATCATTTTTTTTTAATTTATATCATTTTGAATATATTTTATGATAGCTTTTCCGTTTTAAAGATGCCTTTGCTTTTTTCGGCCTAAAAAGTATTGTTTGTTGTTGTTATTTACAGCTGTATTAGTCCAAAGTAAAGTGTTCTGTTTTTTGTCTTCTTAATTTGTTTATAATTTGGGTTGTGGCAAACTATAGTTGAATCTATAGTTAATATAAATATCGTTGACGTCGAAGAGATTTTATCACAACAAAAATGAAGTTACTCAAGTACCTGTTATTTGCGATTCTGTTGGTTTCCATTATACCGCGGGATATCCTAGCAGCTGATACGCCTCCTGGCGATACACCTCCTGGTGATACACCTCCAGCTGATACCCCTCCAGCCGATACCCCTCCTACTGATACTCCTCCTGCCGATACCCCTCCTGCCGATACTCCTCCCGCTGATACTCCACCAGCTGATACTCCTCCCGCAGGCACTTCCCCCGCTGGCACTCCACCCGCTGAAACTACCACCGCAGCTCCCGGTGGTGCTACCACTAAGAAACCCGCTACTACTACAAGGAGGCCCGCTGCCAAGCCTGCCAATAAGAGACCGGCTAATAAGAAACCAGCCAATAAAAGGCCAGTCAATAAGAAGCCTGCTAATAAGAAACCTGTTAATAAAAAACCTAAGAGGAATGCCAACAGGGTCAGAAACAGGAATAGGCAAGTTGCTAGGTCTAAGAAAGGACCTATCCAACAAAATAATAGAATGAATGTTGTTATTAGGAACTAAGGGAAGTTTAATTAAAAAAAAATACAAACAGAATAGTTGGTGGTGGTATGTTCTTACATACCCATCCAACTCCAAGTTGTCTAAAATGCCTAATACTTGGAAAATGTGGGCAAAACAATAACAATTCTAGAATTCTGAAATTGGGAATGAGGCCCGCTTGTGGGGTACTAAATGGTAAAAGATGGAGTGCAATTTGGGTTTGGGTGACGGGATGAAGCTGGAAATTGAAAAAAAAAATTACAGAAAAAAAATTAAAAATTACTTAGTGTGAATGACTGAGATGTGAATATATACTAAAAAGGTACGAAAATTATTAAATGGTACTAAACTTGGCATATGAGGAAGAGATAGAGTTTGAAATCTGTAATTTGGTATTAGGATCACTTTTTGTTAGTGATATTCATATTTTGAAAAAATCGACTAAAAAAGGTACTAAATGGTATTACATTTGGGATTTTAAAAAAGGAACATAGTTGAAAGATTACAAGGGAAATTCGAAAAGTAGGTGTAATTTAAGTAAAAAAAAAATCGCAAAATTTGGTACCCTTATGTGAAGGTATAGATGTATATTCTCAGGTCAGGTTTGGGAAGTAGGTCTGATATAATGAGGTATTTTTTTACCCTACACCACACTGCGGTAAGGGTATTATGTTCTGGTACATTTGTTTGCAACATAGAGAAGGAAGTGAGTTAGATCCACAGTTCATTTTGATGATCTGCATAGAATCACATTCTAAGTCGATTTATGCATGTTCGTCCGTCTGTCCCTCCATTCGCCTGTCCATGTATTTTTGTAAACAAAGAAGAGGTCCCAATTAGCGCTAGATCAAGATAAATTTTGCCCCAATACATTTGTTTGATCCAAGAACGAACCCTATTGAAATTGAAGATAATCGGTCGAAATTTAGATATAGCTTCCATATATATCTTCGCCAGATTTGCCTTTTACTGTGTGTCCTAATAGGATAGAATTTGGCACATGTTATCAGATTAAGGTAAGACAGATTGAGACTTCTTGGAACATTCTTGGCTTTACCCCGATCTCATTTTCAATATTTGCCGAATGGAATATTGCGATATTTTCAGCTCACGAGGCATTTTTTGGTCACTGCGACTCGAGTTTCGATCAGGTCGCTTCATTATTTTTCTAACCATTTCTGCTGATGTGTTGCTGTTTTCTTTCGTTCACTTCCTTGACGTCGGGCTACGCTACCAATATCACGGTAACGAGCGATGGTACGAGACACAAAAAATTTATTCACATTTAAATGCTGGAGTGTTTTAACGATAGCCACTTGTGGCTTTCCAGCCAAATATTAAGAAATCACACAACAACGCTTGAATTCTATCACGAATAACTTTTTTCTGGAAAATTCTCACCAAAATGCTTTTGTACGCTTGTAAACAATATAATGAATTGCCACTGGAATATTGTTAACAGCTGTCGGACGGTTTCTTAGAAATGACAGCAGTCTGAAGTTGGTTGCAGATTTTTCATCTCACTCTATAGATCCCATATATATTCAGTTTAATTTAAATATATCATTAATATTCCCAAATGAATATCGCTTATGTTCTACTAAGACTGCTGATCTGCATGTCCAATTTATGTTTTACTGCAATATATCCAATGCGTGTAAAGAAGTAGATTCCATTTCCATAATTACTATTTTTCATTCTTGCAGATTTTACTCAGTGCTTCTAACTTTTATATGACTAATTTTGCAATATTCTCTGATATTTTACTTAAATAGCATGTTTGTTGATGTTTACGGGCTTATATGAATTGTTTGGCTAGACACTTCGCAAACATATTAATAATTTATTTGTGATATATTAATTGAATGAACACGATGTATAAATATGTATATATAAACATTATATGATGTATAAACATTATGACATTATGAGTAAATTCCAGACAAATATTTGATATAATTTGGGGGACAATATTTGCCTCCGGAAGTAGACTCTTAAATATAGGTTTGTACAGGAAGTAAATATTTTTCTGCCAATATACAAATAAAGACATTTATTTATTCAAAGATTCACACCAAAAAGTACAAACTTGGTATATCGTAATATTATTATCAAACTTAGATCGAGTTCGGAGATGGGCAATATTGACCCACTACTTCCAAAACCTCCCCAAGGAAAAAATTTTCAAGAAAAAAAAAAAAACAAATATTTTAGGGCACAGAAAGAGAAAGGAAACTCCGATTTTGTTCCAACTCTGAAAATCCTAATATTTGCATCAGTGCTATTTATCTGTCCAGGTGAGAAAATTGACAATATCGTTAAACTCCATAATCACAATATTTCTATCGATACAAGATCCGTTATAAAGATACCTCCCTCACAAAGGGTCAAAGTTTGAATAACCAAGATGATTGTATTATCGAAAATAAGCAACCACCACACTACCTGCTATGAAGGTGGGATATATCGGTTAAAATATATATGTTAAAATCTTTAAAATATCTAATATCGGAAGGTGCCGATACAGGGTTGCCCATATTCGACGGACCCATCTGGCAACGCCATAACTTTTGACAGAGTTGTCACATCGCTTAATGATATACCGCGTATGAGGCAGTTCTGGTTTCAACAAGACGGCGCTCCACCGCACACAAGTCGCATAACAATCGATGGGTCCGTCGAATATGGGCAAACCTGTATATGGGGGGATATACGATATTGTGGACCTATAAAGACAATTACCTTTCAGGGGTTAAAGTGCTCACAAAGAACTCCTTGTGTGTATTTTCAGACAATACCATAGGAAAATATGGCTAAAATCATCAAAATGGGGGTACCGTTATATGGGGGACATACGATATCGTGGACCTATACTCTCTTTCAGGGGGTAAAGTACTCAAAAAACCCCTCGTGTAGCATTTCAGACAATTCCGTTGAAAAATGTGTCTAAAATCATCGAAATACCGAATATCGGAGGGTACCGTTATATGGGGGCTATACGATATCGTGGACCTATATAGATAATTCTCTTCCGAGGCATAAAGACAACTCCGTTGAAAAATTGTGGGTAAAATCATCAAAATAACGAATATCGGGGGATACCGTTATATGGGTGCTATACGATATCGTGGAACTATGTAGATTATTTTCCTCCGAGGTATAAAGTACCCACAAGGTACACCTTGTGTGGATTTTCAGATAATTTCGTTGAAAAATGTGGGCAAAATCATCAAAATACCGAATATCGGGGGTACCCTTATATGGGGGCTATACGATATCGTGGACCGATATAGCCCAACTTCGAACTTGATCTGCCTGCAGACAAAAGAGGGATCTGTGCAAAATGTTAGCTTCCTATCTTAATTCGTTTAGACTGTAGTGTGATTAAAACAGACGGACATACGGACGGACATCGCTAAATCGACATAGAATTTTATGCTGATCAAGAATATACATGCTTTGTGGCGTCCATACTATGGCGGAGGGTATAAAAAGAAAGGGAAACAAGCATCAAACTCTCTTAAAATTTCGCTCATACAAAAATGTTTACTAACACACGATCTGTTGTGAAGATGTTTTGTTTTTCAAAACCTTGAAGCGTATAACAGATCTTGTGTTGATGGACATATTGAGATATACCAAGGCTGAATGAAATCGGATGTAATTTTGCGATTTATGAACTTTATGGATATTCCAAATTTTGACCTTTATGGGGGAGGTAGCACAAGGAACGGTCCGATCTCTACCATCTTCATAACAGATCTTTTGTTAGTAGAAATAATGGGATGTGTGAAATATTAAGAGAACCGGATGCTTATTTCGGGTTTTATAATGTTTTTTTTTTTTTCATTTAACATTTTGACCCTTTGTGTGGGAGGTAACAGAAGAAATGTTCCGATCTCTATCTTTTTCATTACAAATATTTTGTTAGTAGTAATAATGGTATGTATGAAATATCAAGAGAACCGGATGCTTATTTCGTATTTTATAATAGTTTTTGTTATTTAAAACCCTTTGTGTGAGATGTACTAGTAGGAATGTTCCGATCTCTACTATCTTTATAACATATCTTGTGTTTATGGAAATATTGAGATGTACCAAGTCTGAATGAAATCAGATGTTTTTTTATGAGTTTTGTGGATATTCAATATTTTGAACTCTTGTGGGGGAAGCAGCAAAAGGAGTGGACCATATTCACACCAGACCTTGGGTTATTAAAAATATTGTGATGTGTGTAATTGGAAGACAATCGGGGACTAATAAAACATTTTAAAAGAGTTATATTTACTAAATGTTTTGTCCATTTGTGGGGGAAGTACTTAATGGGGTGGACCGATATTGTCCATATTGCATATTAGTATTCACAAAGTTGGAGCAAAATCGGATTGGATAATCAATTGTTAGTAAGTAAGCAAAGGCTATAGCCGACTATGAGATACCCTACAACACTACAATATGTTGGAAACCCCCTAATGGCTATTTTCATTTTGGAACATTTTTTATCTTTGAAATTATGTCATAGAAGTCCTTTCTAGGAATTCGTTCTATTGACCAAATGTCATCACATTCATTTGGAATATTCCAAGTTGTAGAGAATAGAAAATATTTGATTGCATTACCCAGATTTTTCAATAATTAGGCGTCTTGGTTCCCTAGGAGACAAAAGATGAACTTGGTATCAATTTTTGAGATTGTGCTCCTTCAAATTAAAACATTTGTCCCAACTGCAAGCTATTGTTTTCTAGTTATTTTAAATAACACCATATACATTTTTGATATATTCAAATGTGTATTCAATATTTTTTTAGCAACTCGGATTTAGTCGATGTCTTACAAATCACCACCAACTACTACCATTTTTAAAAATTCGATTTTCTTGTTAGTTCCTTATAACAACATTCATTCTATTATTTTGTTGGACAGGACCTTTCCTAGACTTAGCAACTTGCCTATTCCTGTTTCTGACCCTGTTGGCATTCCTGGCCCTCTTAGGTTTTCTAACAGGTTTCTTATTAGCAGGCTTCTTATTGGCTGGTCTTTTATTGGCTGGTTTTTTATTGGCTGGTTTTTTATTAGCCGGTCTCTTATTGGCAGCGGGCCTCCTTGTAGTAGTAGCGGGCCTCCTTGTAGTAGTAGCGGGCCTCCTTGTAGTAGTAGCGGGCCTCCTTGTAGTAGTAGCGGGCCTCCTTGTAGTAGTAGCGGGCCTCCTTGTAGTAGTAGCGGGTTTCTTAGTAGTTGCACCACCGGGAGCTGCTGTGGTAGTTTCAGCGGGGGGAGTGCCAGCGGGTGGAGTGCCAGCGGGTGGAGTGCCAGCGGGGGGAGTGTCAGCTGGAGGAGTATCGGCAGGAGGAGTATCAGCAGGAGGGGTATCAGCTGGAGGAGTACCAGCAGGAGGCGTATCAGCAGGAGGTGTATCGCCAGGAGGTGTATCACCAGGAGGTGTATCGCCAGGAGGTGTATCGCCAGGAGGTGTATCGCCAGGAGGTGTATCGCCAGGAGGTGTATCGCCAGGAGGTGTATCACCAGGAGGTGTATCATCAGGAAGTGTATCGCCAGGAGGCGTATCAGCTGCTAGGATATCCCGCGGTATAAAAGAAACCAACAGAATCGCAAAAAACAAGTACTTGAGTAACTTCATGTTTGTTGTGATACAGTCTCTTTGATTTCAACGATATTTATACGATTCGGTAATGCCTATATGTCAAATGTTTCGAATGAAAAATAACAAATATTTATATTAACTATAGGCTCAGCTATAGTTTGCCATAACCCAAATTATAAACAAATTAAGAAGACAAAAAAAAGAACACTTTACTTTGGACTTATACAGCTGAGAATAACAACAAACACTACTTTTTAGGCCGAAAAATGCAAAGGTAACTTCAAAACGGGAAAGCTATCATAAAATATATTTATTTATTCTTTATGCGGTTTTCGGTTCTGGTCTTGCTTAGATTTTACTGCCACTGTGTTACATGGCTCAAGATGATGGTCTAAAAAATGTGATTCAATAAATAAAGGAGCTCAAGTAACTTTTCTCCACAAAAAAATATTTCCATGTACATAACAACCCCTTAGGAGTATCAGTGTTATTTGAAGGTTTACATTACATCAAAGTAATCTAAGTAGAGGGAACAAGTTCTCACCTTTTCCCCATTTTGTTTTGAAATGTTACATTTTGCATCTTTGGTATGTAGTGACTTGATAACAAGTAATAAAACAAGTGCCAAGTTTGACCGGGCCGAACTATCAAAAGTTCCTTCACAATTTCTAAGAAACTTGCAAAATGTTAAGAAAATTTCGTCAAAACCCGTTATATGGGGGCTATACGAAGACGAGGACCTGCATACGCAATTTTTTGTCATGGGTTATAGAACACATTTACATCTTCGTTATATGGGGCTACACAACTCTGTTTCACATACATCTCGAAAAAATTTTGCCAACGTAACTTAAAAATATTTTCCTTGGCTTTTTAACGAATTGATGCATGAAAATAATATAAAAACTTATTTTAGAGGACAATTGAAAAAGAAAACCAGCATGCAAAGGCTATAGTCCTGCGGGGCCGACCATGTAATACCCTACAACACTACAATACAGGTTGAGATGAACGAACTGCAACCAACTTCAGGCTGTTGTCATTACCAAGCCACTCGTCCGACAGCTGTTAAATTCCAGTTCAGTGACAGCTCATTATATTGTTTACAAGCGTACAAAAGCATTTTGGTGAGAATTTTCCAGAAAAAAAATTATTCACGATTGAATTCATGCGTGATAGTGTGATTTCTTTATAATTGGCTGGAAAACCACAAGTGGCTATCGTCAGAGCAATCCAGCATTTAAATGTGAATAAATCTTTTGTATCTCATAGCCGACGTCAAGGAAGTGGACGGAAGAAAACAGCAACATCAACAGAAATGGTTCGAAAAGTAAAGAAGCGACTTGATCGAAATCCGCGTCGCAGTGGCCGAAAAATGGCTCGTGAGCTGAACATTTCGCAATATTCCATTCGGCAAATGTTGAAAAATGAGTTTGGGGTAAAACCATTGAGATTCCAAAAAGTGCAAATACTTACACCGCAACAGAAAGAAAGTAGACTCAAAAGAGCTAAAGAGTTGCTTCGCTTGGTCGATCGTGTTTACTTGCCAAAGAGGTCAGCAGAAAAGCGCCGGTCATGGTGATGGTGTGGGCCGCCATAACAGGCGATGGTCGCTCTCCGCTCGTATTAATCGACCGTTGCATCAGAATAAATGCCGAATATTATCGCGAAAATATTCTGGATGGTATATTAAAGCCTTGGGCACACAAACATTTTGGCCGCAGATCTTGGACATTCCAACAGGACTAAGCACCATCGCACTCAGCACGCGCCACCCAAGAATGGATACAAAATGAGGTTCATCGCTTCATTTCCTGCGCACAATGGCCACCAAAACGTCGGGATACCAATCCGCTGGACTATTGAAGTCATACGATTTTTTGAGCATTTGAGTGGTAGCTTTTACTTAAACTACTAAAATTTGAAAATAGAAATCCTGGTTTTCCATCTTTCATCGTATTTCGCCAATTTTTGGTATTTTTATACCCTCCACCAAAATATGGAGGGTATATTATGTTTGTAACACCTCGAAATGTACACTTTAGAGCACAGAAAGAATACATATTCTTGATCAGCCGTCGTTGGCCGTCCGTCCGTCTGACTTTGAAAATCACATTAGCTTCCGAACGAAATTAAGTAAGTTGATAAAAATTTTGCTCGTCTGCAGGACCTTTGGTATTTAAGTTTTTAAGTTTTTCTTTGTTGCTACAAAATGGTCAGGTTTTTTTGTTTTTGTCACAATTTTAAACCGAACTTCTCAGAGTTCTCAGTAAATAAGAAACATCTTTGAAGAGAATTGTCCATAAATGCCAACATTTTGGTACAGATCCGATATAACTGTACCTTCATATATTCGGTATTTTGATGATTTGTGTTTAACTTTTCTCCGGAATTGTTTGAAATTTGGTATATGAAGTTCGAAAAAGAAAATTATCTGTACAGATCTACGTATTAGCATAGTCCCTATATAATGGTACCTGCCAATATTCGGTATTTATTATAATTTTTCCATTTTACAAGTTTTTTTTTGAAAATGGTGGAGGTATAAAAAGCTGCCATTTTATACATACAACACTATGTGTTGGGGGTATTATAAGTTTGATTGGGCCAAAAATTATGTAACACCTCGAAATATTGGTTTCGCACATAGGAAAGTGTATATGGATCTTCCTATCTCGCCGACCTGAGTCGATCTAGTTATGTATGTCCGTCCGTCCGTCTGTCCATATTAATTTGTAATCACTCTACAGTCTAATTATTGCTCGATCTTCACGAAATGTAGGTGGGGTTAGGGCCAGAATAGAAGCCTATTGATGATCGCATAATATTTAGGGGTTGAAATGGACCAAAAACTGAAAATTTTCATGATTTTGCAGTTGCTCTACAGTTCACAATTATAAACCAATCGAAGTTAGCATGGGCTGGTGCTTAGGGCTGGGCAGAAGCCTTTCCAATTTTTATGGTCATCAGGTAATATTTAGTGGGTGAAATAGACCATAACATTTGTGTTAAATAAAAGTTACATTTCCCATTAAACCGAGAATATTTTATAGCGAAAAGTATACAGAAAAGGAAGGGGATGTTAGCTAGATTGCTTATATCTCAAGAATGGCTGAACCGATTTTGACAAATTTTGGCAATTCAGAATGCCCTCTTGGCATAAAAGAATAAAATCTAAAAAAAAATCGTATAAAAATATGCCAATAATGATGTTAATATAGATTTTGCAGTATTTTGTGACAGTTTAGTTTTCAAAGATGTCTGCAATATAGTTAGGGATTGAAATGGACCAACAACTAAAAATGTTCCTGATTTTTCAGTCGTTTTAAGGGTCACAATTAGAAACCAGACACGAACTCTCACATGAAGTTAGAGTTTAGGACAGCGTGTAAAAAAATTTTCCTGATCACACAATTGAAGCCAATCGACACCCCTGAGAAGAGAGTTAAGGAGAGGGAGGAATCTTATCATTTTGGATAACTATTGGATTATATTTATCCGTAAAATGGACACACAACAACTAACAGCACGACGGAGTGCGTAAATATTGGGCAAATGTCCCTGGTCAAAATGCTAAGGGTAATATCTGGGCAGTGCACCGTGACATAATTTCAAAAGCGAAAACTTCCAAAATGGATTTGGAAATAAGGTGGCTTCTAACATATTGTAGTGTTGTAGGGTATCACACGGTCTTTCTTAATTCGTAGTATGCTAAAAGTGTTTTTACAAAAAAGTATCAATTTAGTTTCGGTATTGTGACGATTTTAGCTACATTATAAACAGATTTTTCTTCAAGTTTCGCATTTAAATATTGTAATAATTTATGACAAAATTTGCAAAATTTTGTATAAGCATTCGGTATTTTTAAGATTTTAACAGAATTTTTAACGGTTTTTTTTTGGAAATTGCCAAATTTGTACCAAATGGTGGAGGGTATTAAAAGTTCGGCCCGGCCGAACTTACAGCTTTTTTACTTGTTTATATTAGTTTAGCTCAAACTCTTGGATTTTCATAGTTTACGGGGTATTAACCAGTCGGTTCTTAAAAATGTGTGTGCTTCGGATTGTCAATAATTTCCGAATTTCGAAAAGTTCAGTAACATTATTTCTTGACAGACAAAATGTAGAAACTGTGGTCTTGTTCTATGAAAATTAGAGAGGAAAATTTTTCTATTCTTTAAAAGTTGTTTCATTTCACATTTGTTTTCTCTATTGACATTTTTATTTCACATTTTTGCTTCCACACATTTTTTTTGCTTTTTTATTTTTGAATTTCGGTGGAATATTCCGTTGTACTATTTATTTTTTTTGTGCACCTAATCATTTTGTTGACGTATATACTATGGTTTGCAAATACAAATTTATACCAAAGTAAACAAGTAATAGAGAAACTTTCGACTTGCAAAACATTTTGTTTCGAATTTACTTGCCACATATCTATCAAGCTGAAGACACCTTTCATTGTTACAATCGCAGAATACCTAAGGAATGGTATAAAAGGAACAAAAAAATTCACCTAAGTTCACCCGGCCGAACTTGTAATACCCTCCACCATTTGGAGGGAACCTGAAAAACTTTAAAATAATTTCGGCGAGAAATACCGTTTAAACGAAAACCGTTATATGGGGGCTATGCGAAGACGAGACCTGCAAATGCAGTTTTTTGTCATATGCTGTAGTACGCATTACGTACTTTAAATACGAAATTTGAAACAATTTCGGTGAATGAAGTCACTAAAATCATCAAAATAATCATATTATTACTACTATACGAATACTTCGACCGACATGACCCATTTACGAACTTAACATGGCTTCAGGTATATTTGTAAACGTTTAGGCTTCTATCTTAATTCGTTCAAAGGATATAGTAATTACAACTGACAGAAGGACATCGCTAAATCGACATACGCTGATCAAGAATATAAACACTTTGTTGGGTCTGAAATGAGTATTTCGGAATGACGAAGTTAATATACTCTCCTATATAGATAATTCTCTTCTGAGACATAAAGTACCCACAAGGTTCTCCTTGTGTGGATTTTTAGACAATTCCGTTGAAAATTTGTGGGTAAAATCATCAAAATAACGAATATTGGGGGATACCGTTATATGGGTGCTATACGATATGGTGGACCTATGCAGATTATTCTCCTCCGAGGTATAAAGTATCCACAAGGTACACCTTGTGTGGATTTTCAGATAATTCCGTTGAAAAATGTGGGAAAAATCATCAAAATACCGAATATCGGGGGTACCGTTATGTGGGGGCTATACGATATCGTGGACCGATATAGCCCATCTTCGAACTTGACCTGCCTGCAGACAAAAGACGGATCTGTGCAAAATGGTAGCTTCCTATCTTAATTCGTTTAGACTGTAGTGTGATTAAAACAGACGGACATACGGACGGACATCGCTAAATCGACATAGAATTTTATGCTGATCAAGAATATACATGCTTTGTGGGGTCTAAAATGTACATTTCGAGGTGTTACAAACGGAATGACAAACTTAATATACCCTCCATACTATGGCGCAGGGTATAAAAAGAAAGGGAAACAAGCATCAAACTCTCTTAAAATTTCGCTCATACAAAAATGTTTACTAACACACGATCTGTTGTGAAGATGTTTTGTTTTTCAAAACCTTGAAGCGTATAACAGATCTTGTGTTGATGGACATATTGAGATATACCAAGGCTGAATGAAATCGGATGTAATTTTGCGATTTATGAACTTTATGGATATTCCAAATTTTGACCTTTATGGGGGAGGTAGCACAAGGAACGGTCCGATCTCTACCATCTTCATAACAGATCTTTTGTTAGTAGAAATAATGGGATGTGTGAAATATTAAGAGAACCGGATGCTTATTTCGGGTTTTATAATGTTTTTTTTTTTTTCATTTAACATTTTGACCCTTTGTGTGGGAGGTAACAGAAGAAATGTTCCGATCTCTATCTTTTTCATAACAAATATTTTGTTAGTAGTAATAATGGTATGTATGAAATATCAGGAGAACCGGATGCTTATTTCGTATTTTATAATAGTTTTTGTTATTCAAAACCCTTTGTGTGAGATGTACTAGTAGGAATGTTCCGATCTCTACTATCTTTATAACAGATCTTGTGTTTATGGAAATATTGAGATGTACCAAGTCTGAATGGAATCAGATTTTTTTTATGAGTTTTATGGATATGCAATATTTCACACCAGACCTTGGGTTATAAAAAATATTGTGATGTGTGTAATTGGAAGACAATCGGGGTCTTATAAAACATTTTAAAAGAGTTATATTTACTAAAAATTTTGTCCATTTGTGGGGGAAGTACTTAATGGAATGGACCGATATTGTCCATATTGCATATTAGTATTCACAAAGTGTAAGCCAAATCGGATTGGATAATCAATTGTTAGTAAGTAAGCAAAGGCTATAGCCGACTATGAGATACCCTACAACACTACAATATGTTGGAAACCCCCTAATGGCTATTTTCATTTTGGAACATTTTTTATCTTTGAAATTATGTCATAGAAGTCCTTTCTAGGAATTCGTTCTATTGACCAAATGTCATCACATTCATTTGGAATATTCCAAGTTGTAGAGAATAGAAAATATTTGATTGCATTACCCAGATTTTTCAATAATTAGGCGTCTTGGTTCCCTAGGAGACAAAAGATGAACTTGGTATCAATTTTTGAGATTGTGCTCCTTCAAATTAAAACATTTGTCCCAACTGCAAGCTATTGTTTTCTAGTTATTTTAAATAACACCATATACATTTTTGATATATTCAAATGTGTATTCAATATTTTTTTAGCAACTCGGATTTAGTCGATGTCTTACAAATCACCACCAACTACTACCATTTTTAAAAATTCGATTTTCTTGTTAGTTCCTTATAACAACATTCATTCTATTATTTTGTTGGACAGGACCTTTCTTAGATATAGCAACTTGCCTATTCCTGTTTCTGACCCTGTTGGCATTCCTGGCCCTCTTAGGTTTTCTAACAGGTTTCTTATTAGCAGGCTTCTTATTGGCTGGTTTTTTATTAGCCGGTCTCTTATTGGCAGGCTTCTTATTGGCAGCGGGCCTCCTTGTAGTAGTAGCGGGCCTCCTTGTAGTAGTAGCGGGCCTCCTTGTAGTAGTAGCGGGTTTCTTAGTAGTTGCACCACCGGGAGCTGCTGTGGTAGTTTCAGCGGGGGGAGTGCCAGCGGGTGGAGTGCCAGCGGGTGGAGTGCCAGCGGGGGGAGTGTCAGCTGGAGGAGTATCGGCAGGAGGAGTATCAGCAGGAGGGGTATCAGCTGGAGGAGTACCAGCAGGAGGCGTATCAGCAGGCGGTGTATCGCCAGGAGGTGTATCGCCAGGAGGTGTATCACCAGGAGGTGTATCGCCAGGAGGTGTATCGCCAGGAGGTGTATCGCCAGGAGGTGTATCGCCAGGAGGTGTATCACCAGGAGGTGTATCACCAGGAGGTGTATCATCAGGAGGTGTATCGCCAGGAGGCGTATCAGCTGCTAGGATATCCCGCGGTATAAAAGAAACCAACAGAATCGCAAAAAACAAGTACTTGAGTAACTTCATGTTTGTTGTGATACAGTCTCTTTGATTTCAACGATATTTATACGATTCGGTAATGCCTATATGTCAAATGTTTCGAATGAAAAATAACAAATATTTATATTAACTATAGGCTCAGCTATAGTTTGCCATAACCCAAATTATAAACAAATTAAGAAGACAAAAAAAAGAACACTTTACTTTGGACTTATACAGCTGTGAATAACAACAAACACTACTTTTTAGGCCGAAAAATGCAAAGGTAACTTCAAAACGGGAAAGCTATCATAAAATATATTTATTTATTCTTTATGCGGTTTTCGGTTCTGGTCTTGCTTAGATTTTACTGCCACTGTGTTACATGGCTCAAGATGATGGTCTAAAAAATGTGATTCAATAAATAAAGGAGCTCAAGTAACTTTTCTCCACAAAAAAATATTTCCATGTACATAACAACCCCTTAGGAGTATCAGTGTTATTTGAAGGTTTACATTACATCAAAGTAATCTAAGTAGAGGGAACAAGTTCTCACCTTTTCCCCATTTTGTTTTGAAATGTTACATTTTGCATCTTACGGAATGTAGTGACTTGATAACAAGTAATAAAGCAAGTGCCAACTTTGACCGGGCCGAACTATAAAAAGTTCCTTCCTGGAAGAAACTTGCAAAACGTTAAGAAAATTTCGTCAAAACCCGTTATATGGGGGCTATACGAAGACGAGGACCTGCATACGCAATTTTTTGTCATGGGTTATAGAACACATTTACATCTGCGTTATATGGGGCTACACAACTCTGTTTCACATACATCTCGAAAAAATTTTGCCAACGTAACTTAAAAATATTTTCCTTGGCTTTTTAACGAATTGATGCATGAAAATAATATAAAAACTTATTTTAGAGGACAATTGAAAAAGAAAAGTTATTCGCAATGGAATTCTAGCGTGATTTCTTTATATTTTAATGGAAAACCACAAGCGGCTATCATTAGAGCATTCCAGCATATAAATGTGAATAAATCTTTTGTGTCTCGTACCATCGCTCGTTACCGTGATACTGGAGCGTAACCCGATGTCAAGGAAGTGGACGGAAGAAAACAGCAATATCAGCCGAAATGGTTGGAAAAGTAAAAAAAGTGACTTTATCGAAACCCGCGTCGCAGTGGCTGAAAAATGGCTCGTGAGCTGAACATATCGCAGTATTCGATTCGGCAAATATTGAACAATGAGCTCGGGGTAAATCCCGAGCCCAACAGAAAGAAAATAGACTCAAATAAGCTACAGAGTTGCTTCGCTTGGCCGAATGTGGTGAACTGCCGAATTTGGGTTTTTCCGATGAGAAATATTCGTTGTGCTGCAGTTTGTAAACAATCGTGTTTACTTGTCAAAGAGGTCAGCTGAAAATGTGCACCTTCGGTTGGCCACCAAAACTCAAGCGCCGGCCATGGCCGCCATAACAGCCGATGGTCGCTCTCCGCTCGTATTAATCTATCGTGGCATCAGAATAATTGCCGAATTTGAACGCGAAAATATTCTGGAGGGTGTATTAAAGCCTTGGACATTCCAACAGTAATAAGCACCATAGCAGTCAGAACACGCCACCCAAGAATGATTACAAAATGAGGTTCCTCGCTTCGTTTCCACCAATGGCCACCAAAATCTCCGGATACTAATCCGTTGCACTATTGTGTCTGGAGAATTTTGGAATTAAAGGTTGGCACTAAAAAATACCAAAATGTCGATCACAGTGTCGGGTCAAAGTACCGCAAAGCAATATTCGGGCAGCGTGTGATGGTTTCATTGGCTGCGTCCATGTATTCTTGTGAACAAAATACAGGTCGCATTTATTATCCGATTGAGAAGAAATTTTCCAAACAACATTTGTTTGGTCCAAGGACGAACCCTATTGAAATTGGAGATAATCGGTAAAAATTTAGGTACAGCTCCCATATATATCTTCGTCCGATTTGCCATTTATTGTGCACCAAACGTGTAATATCAGCCCGAATAGTATGAAATTTTGCACATACAACCAAATTAGGCCTGAAAATAAGTATGCCAAATTTGATCGGTTCAGATATAGCTATAGCTCCCATATATATTGTTCATCCGATTTGTTATATTTGTCCTCCGCAGCCGTAATATGCACTCCGTAACAACAATATTTGGGGAAATACATCAAATACAGCTCAGAAATATATTTGCCAAATTTTATCGAGATCGGTTCCGATTTGGATATAGCTCCAATATATATATTTATCCGATTTACATTTACACCAAACGTCTAATATTTGCCCAAATAGGATGGAATTTGGCACATGCAACCGAATTGAGTCTAGAAGCTAGTATGCCAAATTTGGTGAAGATCGGTTCATATATAGCTATAGCTCCCATATATATTCTTCAACCGATTTGTTGTATTTTATTACTCACAGCCGTAATATGCACTCCGTAACAATGATATTCAGAGAAATATATCAAATACAGCTCAAAAATATCTTTGCCAAATTTTATCGAGATCGGTTCCGATTTGGATATAGCTCCCATATATTTCAAATTTATTGTGCACCAAGTGGGGAATACAAGTCCGAATTTAAAAGATACAAATGCTTCGGCATATTTAGTCTCTTGAACTTTAAATTATAATTATAATCATAGCGTGTATGATTGAATTCTCCCATAAAAACATTTAATTGTTATGTGGAGTTGTACTAAATTAGCAAAGTGGTGTAGGGTGTCATATAGTCGGCCCCGCCCAACTTTAGGACTTTCTTCACTGTTTTTTTTCGTAGTATTTATACAAAAAAGTATGAATTTAGTTCCACATTTTCGTACAGAATTCATTTAACCGTTCCCCATTTATTTATATTAGTTTAGCTCAAGCTCTTGGATTTTCATAGCATCCGGGGTATTAACCAGTCGGTTCTTAAAAATGTGTGTGCTTCGGATTGTCAATAATTTCCGAATTTCGAAAAGTTCAGTAACATTAATTGTTGAGTCTACAGACAAAATGCAGACACTGTAGTCTTGTTCTATGAAAATTTACGAGGGGAACATTTTTCTATTCTTTAAAAGTTGTTTCATTTGTCATTTGTTTTCTATATAGAAGTTTTTATTTCACATTTTTGCCTCCACACACTTTTTTTTTGCTTTTTTTGAATTTCTGTGGAATATTTTTGAATTTCTGTGGAATATTCCGTTGTACTATTTATTTTTTTTGTGCACCTAATCATGTTGTTGACGTATATACTATGGTTTGCAAATACAAATTTATACCAAAAGTAAACAAGTAATGGAGAATGTTTTAAGCGTTCGACTTGCAAAACATTTTGTGTCGAACTTACTTGCCACATATCTATCAAGCTGAAGACACCTTTCATTGTTACAATCGCAGAATATCTAAGGAAGGTTATAAAAGGAACAACAAAAAATCACCTAAGTTCACCCGGCTGAACTTTTAATATCCTCCACCATTTGGAAGGAACCTGAAAAACTTTCAAATAATTTCAGCGAGAAATACCGCTTAAACGAAAGCCGTTATATGGGGGCTATGTGAAGACGAGACCCGGTTTTTGTCGTATGATGTGGTACCCTTTACTATCTTCAAATACGAAATTTAAAACAATTTCGGTGAATAAAGTCACTGAAATCACCAAAATAATCATATTATTACTATCATATTATACGAATACTTCGACCGACATGACCCATTTACGAACTTAACATGCCTTCTGGTATGTGTGTAAACGTTAAGCCTTCCATCTTAATTCGTTCAAAGGATAGAGATTACAACAAACAGTAGGACATCGCTAAATCGACTTACGCTGATCCAGAATATAAACACTTTGTTGGGCCTGAAATGAGTATTTCGGAATGACAAGATTAATATACTTTCTGTAGTATGGTGAAAGGTATACAAATGATAAGTCTTTTGACGGAGTGCATAAAATGTAAAAAAACAAGTAAAAACGCTGTATGTTCGGCCGGGCCGAACTTTGAATATCCGCCACCATTTGGAACGAATTTGGCAAACTTCAAAAAAAAAAAAATAATAAATAAATAAATAATAATAATAATAAAATAAATAAATAAAAATAAAATCCCTTAAAAATTCTGTCAAAATCTTAAAAATACCGAATGTAGCTGTTACCTTAGGGTCTATACGACGACATGGACCTGCATAGGTAACTTTTGTCTTAAGCCATTACAATATTCAAATGCGATACTTAGAAAAAAAAGAACTCCGTAAATAATGTAGCTAAAATCATCAAAATACCGAGGTACCGTTATATGGGGGCTATACGAAGACGTGGACCTGTACAGACAATTTCCTGTCATAGGCTGTAGTATGCATTACGACCTTCAAATACCAAATTTGAAACAATTCCGGTGAATAATATGGCTAAAATCATCAAAATACCGAATATCGGGGGGCACCGTTATATGGGGGCTATACGAAGACGTGGACCTGCACAGACTATTTTCTGTCATAGGCTGTAGTATTCATTTCAGTTTTCAAATACCAAATTTGAAACAATTCCGATGAATATTGTCGCAAAAATCATCAAAATCACCAAATTTGAAACAATATCGCTAAAATCATGAAAATACCGAATATCGGAAGATCCGTTATATGGGGACCATACAAAGGCGTGGGCCAGAACAGATAATTTTCTGCTTTAGGCTGTAGTATTCATTACGAACTTCAAATACCAAATTTGAAACAATTCCGGTGAATAATGTCGCTAAAGAAATCGAAATACCGAATATCGGGAGGTACCATTATATGGGGGCTATACGAAGACGTAGACCTGTACAGACAATTTTCTGTCATAAGCTGTAGTATTCATTACGAACTTCAAATACCAAATTCGAAACAATTCCGGTGAATAATATCTCTTAAATAATCAAAATACCGAATATCGGGAGATACTCTTATATGGGGGCTATACAAAGACA